AATGTTTCTTTTCCCATAGCCTTCGTTTTCCCATTTTTTTTTCTTCAACCCCCCCCCCCCGAGCACTGCACAGTCCGGTGCTGTACTCGTAGCAACAAATCAGAATCATTTCCCCCTTGGAGTTTACACCACTACCGTATGATACTTTAGATTTCTATACGGTACCGGCAAGCCGATAGCTTAACGCTATCTCACGTCCACGATGCGCACGATAAGGCGTTCGAATACCCGTCCAGGGATGTGTTTCAGGCGTGGGGTATCAAGCGCAATTTGACTGAGGCAGTGCAGTTTGTAAACGTGCATTTTGTGATATATCAGGCTCTATCATAACCCCACACCATAGACAATGCTAAAGAAGCCAACGGCGTTTTGGAAAAAAATTACGGAGGCTCGGAGAGCGCCACAGCGGCGTTATGAGAGAGGGAGGGCTGGTGTGGTGAAGACGAGCCTAGGTTCTGAAAATCGGGAGTGAAATACTTTAGCAGGTGTTGGCCAATTGATAAGAGGAACGGGTATTATTTCTCTCTTACATGTTCATTTTCCCATGCTTGATCTGATTCATGCTTTGCTAGAGCACAGCCGGTGCACGGGAATGTTCCTTCCTTCCACCAGGCTTTTCCGTGGGGTTCTGGATTTAAAAAAGGCGGTTGTGAGTGGTGAATAAGTACATTTTGTCGCATCCTCCCACCCGTGACACCCACTAGCACGCCCCCGCCGGGATAGAAATTATTCAACACTTCGGGGTTTCGTACAGCGGATGCAACTTCCAGTTTATACCAGACGACACGGGACTTTTATTGGTATGAACAATAATGAGAGAGAGAGAAATGGAATCAAAGAATAAGTTAAGAAAGAGCAAGAGGATTGTGTATGGTAACGAATGACTTGGACGATATAACTGAAGACGAAGTGAAGGGACAGTGAATGCGATAATTTAAGAAAAATAACAGAGAAATACCACAGCCTCATATCCTTCTCAACAGAACGTCCTCCTCCCTGGCGTACTTCCAGCGCATGCGAAATCCCTCTCCTACTCTGCCGTACTTGGTGAGTATTCTGCTGGCTTTTCCCGAGCACCCCCGAGGTATAACCACCATGGCCGCGGGTATAACTCTGCCACAGGTCTCGGGCACTATCCATTCCCGTGGGTGCAGTCTATTACCGAGGGTATGATATCTGACAGCCATCTGTATAGGTGTTTCATTTGTAGGTAGAACGGTATCCGATATTGTCGCATTAGGTATGCAGGGTTGGTATGAGAGTTGGTCTGGCGCTAGTGGTGGTGGTGGGGACGTCCTTAAGACAAAGGCGTGAATCAGAAATGGTTGCAGATATGTTTTCCATCCTCCAAGAACAGGAAACCATGTATGTGGCGAGTAGTCGAGAACGATGACTGTCCAACAGAAATACCGATCCCGATAGTAATAATAGGGACAGAAGAATTTGAAAATATCATACTATCATGTTTGTTGGCTAGAGTCCGAGTTATATGTATTATCTCAGCACGATAATATTCAACGAAAGACTATTTTTTTTGACATTTATTATACCTATGAAAAAAGTTATCTGGGAGTCTTTGAAAAAATTGAAAATAATAGTTATTTGTATGGGGTACTGAAGATAATAACTCTATACCAGGAGTTACTATACTGATGGTAAGAATACTATGTGATCATACTAAGGTAGTCTTAAACTCTCTACACCTTCGGGAAACTCTAACCGCCACCAGATTAATAAGCCCCGAGAAGCGAATCAGGGAAAACAGGAGAGGAAGATGCTGCTAGGTATTGTATCTATCATACTTAGACAGGCATCATCTAACATTTAGCCCATTATATTAATATTAATATCAAAGAATTATGCAGATTCCATTACAAACCTCAATATATATATATATATAGCTATAACACTTCAAGCCAGTAGCTATAGTGAAATGCTCTCTATTTTATCCTTCGCACCAGAAAGGTTCGGTGGCCGTGAAACCCTGGACCTGTATATCCCTTTGTTTAAAAAATGAGTGCTAAAGGTAAAGTGAAAGCTTAAACGGAATAACTTGACCTCAAAGGCGAAAGTGCCAGCTGTACGAATCCTAATGTAAAGAGGTGATTATAGGTTACTGATCGCATTTATAACGAACTATCATATCCGAACTCTTCCTACCACGCAGTCCTGCCGTAGTCGAATCGATCCCTACTGTTCGCGGACGAAACCGCAACCCATAGCACTGCCAGTGTGTATTACTTACTATATCATACCACGATACTGGGCCGTTCTTGCGAGTGCAGAGCCCCCCACTATCATTCACCAGGTCTACCGTAGCCAGGGAAGACGATTATCCCATGATAAGTTACCGTACCCGTACCGGATCAGCGTTCCTACTAATGCAAAACACCTTTAACTCTATATTTAGAAGTATTTTTGCTATTCACAGTTCCGCAATCCTTGGAGATTATCCTTTCCCTTCTTGCCTCTTTCCTCCAGTCCAGGTTTTCCTGTTCTCCACTTTTGAGAGACAGACACTGATCCGGGGCACAAGATACATGAGCAGGACGTTGCGATAGCCACTCTCATAATCGTAACTCTCTGTACTGTATATTAATCAACTCGTGGTTTTTCCTTTTTGTCCTTCACCGGAATGCTTCCCCCCACTCTCGCACGGCCGGGAAAAGTTGGAATTCCAGCATTCCTGCCACCCCCGATCTCTCCATTCATTCGTTCTCACGGCAAGGCACAATACGAGTACCGTACTCGAGTATAATAGCATCAAGTTACTGGTGGTGGCCAAGTCCGCACTAGTCTAATCCACTCTTTCCCCGCACGGAAACGATGTGATGAGGTGAGGGAAGGGATGGACGGGCCCATTTTCAATCTGGCTTTTCTTAGCATTCCCATCACTAGCACTTAACTTACCGGTATCTACCCTAGCCTACCCCGCAACCCGCTTCCGCTGCCTGTACCGTAAATTCACGAGCACTGACACCTTTCTTTGTTTCCGATCTAGTTTCTCCGTGGACTCGCCCGGCCGAGTTGAAGATTGACATGGTGGTACGGTGATTCCAACAGGAAGTGTATAATAGCTTCAACCGGGCAGCACAGTACGAGTACTCTATTGGATTATATTATATCAAAGCGTAATTCGGACCTCGATCACTATCGAGAGGTGACTCGAGGCGCTCAGCCGCACGGTTAAAGAGGTTTAAAAAAAAAAAAGCCCTTTCTCGAGCGCCAAGTTTTCCAGATCACTCGTCAGATCAGAAGTACTGTATTATATCACGCAAGGGCAAATATAGAGAAGGCGTTACACACAACTGGAGTCGGATGGCCTGCATAAAGCTCCTTCTCAATACTAATACCGGTACCGGTATGACACCAATGCGGTGCAGTGCTATTTATCATTACACTTCTCAATTGCTCTTGCCCCTCAGAGGGATACAAGTATTATACTATACTTCCCTCTGAGCCAACGGCCACCCATCCCCAGACCGCAGGCACAACTTTATCCCGTGCTCGTACTGCGAAATAGCCCTTCTGTGACGCAGAGTTGCAAAGTACGAGTATTTCCCAATTCGTTGTCGCAGCGTCTAGTTCACACCGTGACTCCGAGAATATGAAGCCCGCGGGTTCCTTGTCCTGATAGGGGTCGGGGAACCGGGCCGGTGGAGGGATACTTTAGCTTGAATCTGAGCTTTTTTTTGGAGATGGTGGAGTGGCCCCATTTAAGTTTCCATTGCCCAGCATGCGAGTTACGAGGGGCGGATGATGGAGGGTGGTAGATGCGCAGGATATAAGACCCTCTTGAAACCCCCATTCTGCTTGATTCAACGGACCACCACTTCCACAATTCTACATACATAATCCGTCCCAAAGTAATCTACAGACCCTGGCAATGGCCGTCGCAGACATCACCTCTTTAGAATCCCTCCTCTCCCCCTCTTCCACCCTCACCATCCCGACAAAACCCTTCACGGAGGACTACAACAACTGGACGAACTACGCCGTGATCACCCCCAAAGCCGTTATCAAGACCACCAGCGAACCCGACATCCAGACCGTCGTCAGATTCGCCGCCGAGCACAACCTTCGCGTGTCTGTGAGGGGTGGCGGGCATAGTGTGTTTAATTCCTGTGACGGGATAATTCTTGACTTGGCGGGGTGGGATGAGATTGTTTATGACGATGATGACGACACCATTAGGGTTCGGCCTGGGGTGTTGGGTGGGAAGGTGATGGAGGTTGCGGGGGAGAGGGGGAGGTGTGTCCGTAAGCTATTATTCCGCCCAAACTTATCTAAAGGGCACGGGGTGGTAATGAGGAGCAGTGAGCGGAACATGCAACACAGTCGGGGTGACCTCCCTCTACCTCAGCGGTGGCCTCGGCCCCCTAACACCAAAGTTGGGAATGGCCATAGACTCGCTCCTCTCAGCCCGTCTCATAACCGCCTCCGGCGAGCTTCTAACCGTAAGCCCCGAATCCAACCCCGAAGTCTTCCACGTCCTCGCCGGCGCCGGACAAACACTCGGAGTCGTCACGGAAATGCAGATAAAAACCCACCCGCTCAACGAAACCCTCAACACCGCGGACGAAACGGTCTTCTTCGCGTCAATAACATTCCCAGCATCCAGGGTCGCAGAAATTACCGACCTGTTGAGCTCTACGAAATGGGATGAGAATACCGCAGTTTACCTCATGCTCCTATCTCCACCAGAGGGGGGCGCCCCACTGTTTGTTTTCAGTATAAGCTACTATGGCAGCGATGAGGATGCCAAGAGGATATTGAAAGGGTTATACGACTTGAAGCCTATCGCAGAGACGGCCAAGAGAGTGCCGTATGTGCGGATGAATGATGGCGGCGAGGGTTTCGGCGAGCGCGGGGAGTTTAAGCGCATGATGGGAGTGGGGCTCAAGCGGATGAGTGTTGAAGGAATGAAGGGGATGGTGGAAGCATATGAGAACCTGCTTGCGGTGGGGGGGGATTTGGGAAAATGTGGTGTGTTGTTCGAGCTCTTAGGGATGGATGTTGCCAGGAAGAGCTCTATAGGTGTGTATGCGCATAGGGATATCGATATCTGGTGGTTAGTAGCCGCCCCGTCCCCCGTGTCTTTAGAGTGGTTGTTGACTATGCGTGACGGTGGACAGTATTCCGCTGTTATGGTACAGCCATCCAGAGAGTCATGCGATTGCAGAAAAGTTTGGCCGAGACGTGCGCAAGGCGTTGAAGGGGGGGGACGTGAGTGAGGATATGGTTGTATACCCCGCGTTTAGGGCTGGAGATGAGACGCCGGAGGAGCTATGGGGGAGTAAAGAGACGGCGGAGAAGGTTGCAGGGATGAAAGCCAAATTGGATACCAAGGGGGTCTTCCTTAAATTCTAGCTTGATGGAGGAGTTCAGTCCGTAGTATGATAGTTGATCCAATATTATGATAAGGTATCGCGAACTAAGCAACCCCGAAGAAACCTATCAACCATCAACGATGGGATGGACACAGGGTTAGGGTTTCCATTCCATCATCACCCCATCGTTCCTTATTCATTTCTCCCTCCTCACCTCCCTCCCCATTTCGCCCAACAATGCGCCAAACCCTTTCCCTCCTCCTCCAGCGCCTCCCAGTCCACATAACCCTCTACAGCCGTGCAACATGCAGCCTCTGTGACACGGCGCGCACGGAGCTCTCACAAGCGTGGGAAAAGCAGCCATTCGAGTATGTCGAAGTAGACGTGATGAAGGATGACAAGTGGCGTGTTTATGTACACAACCCTTGTTCCAAGCTCGTTATCGCCGTGGCTAAGTTGATCGGGGGGATATCATAGGAATTCGACGTCCCGGTGATCCACATTGCCAGGACAATAGGCGAGAAGGGCATTGAAGAAGGTGAAAAGATAAGGAAGTTGATGCATAGGTTTAAGACGGCGGAGGTGGTAGGAGCTATGGAGGAGGTGTTGAGTGAGGAGGGGGGGGGAAATAGGGGGAAGGAAGGGGGTTGAGGCAGGATGACCCGCGTAGATACCGGCAGCCGATATAGCCCGATACCCATTGCCAAGCCTGGCGCGGGAGATTGAATGAAACCCGATCAGTCGATAGAAAATACGAAGAAGGATGAATACTGTACGGTAGAACGCGGCAGATTCGCCCTGGTAAAAGCTACTCATCCCTAGATCGCATAACACTCCTTTCCTCACTCCCCCGTTAGCCGTTCTCCACCTCCCCAACTGTATGTCTGATGGCTGTCCAAACACCTATCCCTCTCCCCTCCCCCCTCGTCTCAACGCTCCTCCTCCACCTCTGCGGCATCCTTTCCCTCTCCCTCCCACCGTTCCCCCTCCGCAGCGCGCTCTTCGTCCCGCCAATAGTGCTCCTCGTGATCGCGACACATGCTTCCCCGGCTGACCCTACAAACCCTCAACTAACCTACGCCATCGGCTCCCTGTGGCCACTCTATCTCTCCACCCTCTCCCAACACCTATTTCTCCCCGCACCCCCCGAGACACTCCTCCACTTACGCAACGACAAGCCCGGTGAAGCCGCGACCTGGAGGTTCTCCTTGCGGAAGATCCTCTGGAGCGCAAAGTTATTCCTCGACCCACGCGGTATCGAATGGAATTTTCGCGTGAAGGGAGTTGTGCCCGCGACTAATAGGAAAGTTGGCAGATGGGAGTTTGTGCTTGGAAGGGTGGCGTGGGGTGTGTTGTTGGCTGTGGGGTACGATTTTTGCTTTGAGTTTGTGGTGAAAGGGTATAGGGTCGCCGATGGGGAGGGAGGTGGTGGATATTTAAGCACTAGGGATGGCAGCTTTGGTAGAAGGCTCGCGATTGCCGTGGTATGTTTCGTGGCTATTGAAGTCAATCATGTCCTCTGTTCCGCGGTAGTTGTCGCGGCGGGACTATACGAACCAGAGGTGCCCCCCACCCGTTCCCAGTGTCGAGAGAATCAACTAATGACACCCTCGAGTACAGGACTGGCCCCCCCTCTTCGGCTCCCTGACAGCCTTAACCTCAATCCGCAAATTCTGGGGCAAATTCTGGCACCAGACCATCCGCCGAACACTAACAATAACCTCAACTTCCATCCTGACTCACCTCCACCTCCCACCCACCTACGCACTAACCCTCACTCTCTCATTCCTAATATCAGGTTTCTTCCATGCCCTGCCACTCCTCGTCATGCCGCCATTCTCATGGTCTTTCATGCCCCGCGGCGTTCTCGCGTTCTACTTCCTACAGCCCATCGGGGTGCTATTCGAGACACTCGCGTCGTCGGCGTACACGGGCAGGAGCACCGTGTGGACTAGGATGGCGGGGCGTGTTTGGGTTGCGGTATGGCTGAATTACACGGCTCCCTGGTTCTGGGACGATATGTTTGCCGTGGGGATGATGGATGGGAACAGCATGCCCGTATCCATCGCTGGGGTTGTGCGCCGATGGCAAATCGGGTGAAGTTCGGCTGCAGCGCGTAGTTAGGTTATGGTGGAACATATCGAGTGGAGAGAATAGAATTTCACAATCCTTCGTATCATATTTCCCGTTTTTCGAGTGAGCTATGGTGATTTTCCGAATCCAGCCTCCTGTACAAAAGTGGCATCCTCAGCTGTTCTAGTTTCCCTATGGGGTAATATTCGCAACAGAGCAGAAACGTGCGCAGTGGGGATAAGAAGGCCTCGAGTGAGAGGAAATGACTTTGGAGTCCTTAGAATAGCCTTCTCGACGCTCAGATTTAAGGCTAGAAGTTATGTGCGGGGTCACGATAAGCACCAGATGGACACGGTTTAAAGGCTTGGTTTATATTGAGGGATAAAATTATCGATATAAGAGGAAAAAAGTGGGAGACACAGCAGCACTCATCACACCAAACCCTCCGAGGAGCAGCCCAAAAGGAGGAGGAACGTAACGATAGCAAACAGGACAATGATAGAGGTGGATATCGAAGCAGTGGTAAGCAGGGGAAGGATAGAAAAGACAGTCGTGAAGGCAAACAGGACCAGTAGAGGAAGTAAAGTTGGACGCAAGCAAAGAAAAGAAAAGAATACAAAGTGAAGCAGAGAAACGTCTACCATCTACGCAGAAGGCTTAAGCCCACGAGTGCCAGGCTTAACCACATTCACAAGCCTATATCCCCCATCGAAAGCTTTTGCCCCCTCTCCCTCTGGCAAAATAGCCCCTCCCACCCCAGCTGCTTTCTCCTTCTCCATTTCAGCCCTCTCAACAATTCCCTCCTCAACAGCCCACTCTACAAACTCGTCGTCAATTTTCCACCCCTGGTCAGCGCCTTCCGCCTTCTCACCTGCAGCTTCAATTTCCAAGTGTCCCCCAATATGCTCCATCTTCTCCCCGAACTCCTCTCTAGTCCACTCCCTCCCGCAGTGCCCGCACTTTTCCCAAGCTGGAGGCTCTCGCCTCTGCCTCTTACACCTCTCGACCATCTCTGACAGCCCCTCGGCCGTCGTGACAGTAGTGCCATGCATGCGCTTAACATGTAGTGTGAAAAGGTCCTTTCTATTAAAAGTGTTCTTTTCTCTCGCCCCCAATGGCGAGGGTGGAGGGTCGATCTGTGGAGAACAAGAAGCTTGGTCGCAGCGCCAGTAGTTGAACAGAAGGTGCTGGCTGTGAACATGGCGTTTCCATTCGTTTTTGCTTGAAAAGGTTTGTGGGCAAGATGCGAAGGAAAATATACAGTGATAGGGGCGAGGATGGCTCGATATGTGATTCCTTTATGCCACGGAATGAGCGACCGCGTTAGATGTGCAAAGGGGGGAAGGGGAAGGAGGGCTCACCGCAGGGCAGAGGAATCCTTGAATGTCGCGGAGGGGTGCTCAATGCAAGCCAGTTCTCGTTTTGCCGTATTCACTGTATTCTTCTTCTTGCGCCCCCCACTGGGCTTCTTTTTGGCTTGGTCCGTCCCTTCCTTCGCTTCCGAGACATTTATCGTTTCCGAGGCATCCGCGGTGTCCGTGACACCCTTCGATTCAGCGGCCAAAGTCGCAGTACCGGTACCAGTAGCACCTTTCCCTTCGCCATCCCTCGCCGCTTCTACCGCTGGCACAGTCTCTGTCTCTTGATCGCCCTTAGACTGCTGATCAATAGTTCTTGCTCTCTTCCTTCCATTACTCTTGCCACCCCTCCCCTTCGCCTCTCCTCCACCCCCTCGCTTCCCATCACTCCTCTCGGCCTTCGCGGTCACAGTGCTCATTTTCCCGTCATCTTCCATATTTACTAGACACTTTCCTACAGGAAAGAAATAGATATGGCATTCCCCAGGAACCCACCCCAGCTTAAATACCATACCCCGCCGCTGCCAAGGAACCCTTTTTTGCTTTTGGCCAGAACCAGCCTTGTGTGACGGCATAACACACAGGGCGTGGCCCGATAGCCTTGTGCTCTACATTGGGCTGTGAGTGGGCTCAGTCCTTCGAGTACCGTAGAGCCAGGAACTCGGCGGATTACTTGATTTGGTGGCGATTGGATTTTTTTCGTGATTGGCTTTGAACCATTCCACTCATTTTTTTTTTCGCAGCTGGCAAAGATGTGTCGGTAGATATACCGGTAATATGGTACTGTACAATTCTCACACCGCACGGCGTCACGCTCAAACAGGTGTTCATAAAGGCCTAGTATCTCACCCAAGAGAACCTGAATGGTAGAGGAAGCGAATAAGAGGCCCGGCGAGTGATTGGCGGTGCGGGTTGGGAGGAGACCAAGGAGCGGTATCAGGTGAAACTGTAATTCTCGCCACTAAGGTATCGCTGATAGACAGGGAGGGAAGGGAAAAATAAGGAGGAGGGAGAACTTACCGAAACCATTGGTGAATGCCCCTTCTTATAGACTGCAACGCGGTGGAGAGAGAGCCGTATTCTCTTTTCCCCATCAACCCTTACGATTCTGCTATCGCTACGCTCCGGGAGTGAGTGCCCCTCTGCCTGTGGTCAGCCTGCCAGGAACAATCCGGCCACCAACCTTGCACATCTCGGGTGCTAGATCATGAACAATATGGCAATGTTGGGAGCCCCGGTACTCGAGTATACGTTGTAACCTATCTCTTCTGGTAACTGGCAGGATGCAGGTTAACTCATGGGTATCCCGTGGCCCGGCGCCCCACGGCACTCCTGGCGACTAGTGTGATGGTGCTGCCCGCAAATACCGGTACCCTCAACCACCACCCAAAACTACCATCTCCCGCTGCAAGGACAGCGAGGGGATGAATGGGAACTCGCGCAGGTATCAATAGGATACGGACTAGTCTCTAGGGAGAGAGAGACAATAATGCTATTTTTAGGTATAAGCACGATCCCATACTCGAGTACAGCATACCAGTGAGGTCCACCAGCAAAAGGGAAAGAATTCCACAGAACAGACACCTCTAGATTTTACGAGAGACAGGGGAGATAATCCTAGATGACAGTATTGGATCTGAGGAAATGTCTGAGAGGCATCATTGGATGGGGAGTGCAAGGACTAGCATTCACAGGGAACACTACGCCATTTCATCTTCTATCATAACTGCAGGGGGAAATGGAATGAGACGCCCCGAGCATAACCCTCAGAGACGGAGCGTTCTACAGTGGCTCGATCCGCTCTCTCTCTCTCTCCCACTCTGGCCAAAGCTGGGGAATCACCTGGACCAAATACCATAGGATATACAGACCCTGGTATATTGCTTGGGTGCGCGCCAGCCTAGTGGACAACACCCTGTCTACACCTCTGCGACCAACAACAACACACCGTACCGGTATTGGGCTGGGGCATAAATGGTGAGACATCATGTAACTTATACGGGCTGTCGGTGACGAAGAACTGCCATTCACATTGCCCACTATACCGGTAAATCGTAATACCATGCATACTGTGCATCCATTACCAAGACTAAATTCCTAGAGAGGATAGCCCATCAAATGCGAGCACGCTCGGGTCGGCCTCGCTCGGATTGGAGGAGCAGAGGACCAGGGCAGGGAATGCCCCGGGAACAGAACTGGAGGGAAAGCACCCCTTATGTCATATAAATAGGGAAGGCGAGAAGACATGTGGTAGGTTGACAGCCTACCCTCCCTCCCCTCCGATTGACGATCGACCAACAGAACGTAAATTTCCCGTCGAGGGTGTGATCATGTCAATGGAGACTGTGGGTAAGAAATAAAAAAATAAAAAATAATACCATGCACGTGAGGAAAATGCTCTTCTGGACCAACCGGATCGCTAGGATTTGGCTCCTGACGCGGAATCGCGATATCCCCATCCAGAAATGCCCCGGTTCCCTCCTAGACCTGGGGGTCGTGGGGAAAAGGATTGACCGCAAGGGTACGTACCCGCTGGAGGAATGTACTGTATTGGTTTTTTCACTATTTTTATTCCGTCCCGGATCGCTGTTTTGAATTCTCGAGGGGAAGGGGGATCTTCCACAGGTGTGTCACGGGTTACTTTCTTGATTTTGGAGGAACTTTGTGTCTCTACTACCCCACTTTTGGGCTCCCAGAGATCTCGTTCGTTTTGCTTTTTGAGTCAATCGATTCTTTCGAACCGCACTACGGTATATATGTTGAGTGATCCGGGCTTCCATGTCAAAACCTAGCGGTTCTATGCGGGGCCAGCCCCTCCTAGAATTGAATGGCCCAACGACATAAGAGTGCTGCCCCAGTGGGCAGAGCGAGCTCTCGCCCAGGGGCTAATTTGTAGGGAGGTTTTGGCTCAAGGCAGCAAAGGTCCACGGAGATACTGAGCATGGTACCGAATCTAGATTTGTGGGAACGGGGACTCTGAATGAGTGAACGAGCTCTGGACTTTATACCACGGGTAATAAGGTCTCAAAGCATCATTCTTCCCCGAAGGCCTTGAGGCAGCACATCCCTCTAGGCCGCAAAGAGATAGGATATTTCTAACAAAAACATGGAGACCTCCCCGGACACTAGGGGTTAGTCCCTTCCAATGAGTCGTCATTTCTGATACATGGGTAAGCATACCGATATTGATTGCAAAAGGGAAGAAACCCCGTGAACATTATGCGATTCCTGATTTACAGGAAGGTCTTTCTATATTTTGGCCACTCGTATCGCCACCATACGGACCGTACGTAGAGCACAGTACAGCGCACACGTTATGCCCTCCACAACAGGATTCAGCACACCCAATGTGGTCCAATGAACTCTGCCACGCATTCAGATTCCCAACCAGGAAATAAACAAAAAGACGTTGAAAGTAAAATCCTTTACCATCAGTCACCCCTGCAGGACAATATTGAAAGTGCTTTGAAATCATTTGCATAAGTCGTGCCGCTTTATCGCATAGTCATTCCTACCCAGTCATCCGGGCCAAAAAAAAATAAAGGAGAAAGGGGGATCTCTGGGTATCCTCCTCCACTACCGGTACCTAGAGATCTGTGCCACTACCGTTGAGCGAAGGGGATATTTTAGGTATTGGTATCCAACGAGTTGCGTTTAACATGCCTCCCCTGCCCCCCTGTTCGGAGAGAAGCTCCCATGCCGGTACTCGTATACAGTACCGGTAGCTTCCGTATTCTCGCTCCCCTGATAGAAAGCACTTGCGGCTTTTATTCCTTGCAATCGGGTAAGACAGCTTGGATCCAACCATATCAGGGGAGCAGCCTCATGGCACTTGCACAGCCCATTTCGGCATCCAGGGCGAGCGCGATACGCCGCAAGCGGGATCTAGTGAATCGGGAATCGCCTCTCGCCGTCCCAGCAGTATCGGTACACACCCCCTTCTGTCCGTTCTGGTACCAATGATTGCGGTGTCTTCCCCCCGTGGGTACTAAACTCAAGAGGGACAATAATGCGTAACTATGACATGTTATTATTCCTAGTCTCCTAAACGCATGTATAACAATTATATGTCCAAAAGGCTCCAAAGATAAGATACCGCGATGCACCGGCGAATGCCGTGATGAGGGGAAAAGCCCCCACCGATGGACTACCGGTATTGGCATTCCACCTAGCACACAAGTGCAATTAAGGTCCCAGACAAGGGACGTCAGCACGGGAGAAGAATTTGGAGTATACCTGGTATTGAGGAGCTGAAGACTATGCACGCTCCTCTATAACAGAAATTGCACTCACCTCACCGGGTATCTGGTTCAGTTATCTCACGATGTGTACGGGGAGAGTTCAGTGCACGCCATACAGAGCGTAGGTTTCTCTCCCAGAGTGTGCGTGTGGGGGGATGGGGGGCGGGAGGCGGGAGGCGGGAAGTTCAGTCGGGTTCCTTGAAATCTCAACTCCATCCAGGGTTTGATATCCCGTGGACCTAAATATATACCGGGAAAACGATCTTCCCTTCCCGAGACATTCCTAACCTCAAAAAGATACCGGAAGGGCAGAACAAAGTGGGGTCAACAGCCCTGTCCCCACCACTCTTCCCTTCCACTTTGCATGCTCAAATACGTCATATTCCCACCTCGTCCACCTGGCCCTTCGGCCATCACCTTTATGCTTACGCCTTTCTCCGCGAATTAAGATATCTTTGGCAGCGAGGCATGTATATGCACCAAATATTAACTAGGAACGCCTTAAAAAAGTCATGAATGGGCAAAGGAAACATGTTCAAGATAGGTAGAGCTATTACATAAATGCAAATGAAATTCACTATAACCACTGGAGTTAGAATAATGTTCAATTTATTGTTACATCATATAAAAAGCAATAATATAAAAGAAAAGGAGTGAAATAAATTAACTACTAGTACCTCCTCTAAAGGTCTTTTAGTTATCTCTGGATATCTATAGATTTTATATTAAAGTGTGTCTAAAATATTTAATGTTCTTAAGTTTAAGATACTGAAGTTTTAGTCATACAGATATAGAATAATTTCAACTCATTCTAGCCTGTCAATATTGATTTCCAATCCTTCAAGTTCCTGCTATCTTGGTGGGTACAATATATTATTTTCTTTCTTGAATATGGGTGCTGTTTTGGGAAAATGACTACAGTTTCCGGTTGTCACAAATCAGGTTGTATACTCCTCCACATTTTGTAGCTAATAGAGTAGGCTCCAAGCTCTTTGAAATATATTCAGATTTAAATATAGAGCAATATTAGACCTATACTTCTCTTTTTCTCAATACAGATTTGGTTGGCATGCAAACTAAATTTGCTCCTAACTCAAAACAACAAAACACACAAGTATAGTCATTTTTCCAAAACAGCACCCATATGAATAATTATATTTTGAACAATATAATAGTATAAATCCTCCAAGTTACATTTTAGTAATATTTTATCAAGATACTTTTTATATATATTTCTAATATTCAATACTATTTTACTAATTCAAAGTTTTCTAAACCTGCTAAAATAAATAGTTATTTTATTAAAAAAATTATAAAGAGACTTAGAAGAAATAGTAAAAGATTAAAATAAAAGTGTAAAAATTACCAGGATTAATTATAAGGAAAAGG